GAGCATTGAGAGAGTAATTATCAGACGCCTAGACAGATCAAAAGTTGAACTTGTGAAAAGAACTTAAACCTCCCTTGTTGGCGAACACCCGAGAGCGTTCTCAAAATCTAAACTCATAAAGCTTCCTAAAATGTTGGCCCTGCAGTTGGTACCTCTTTCACTGAATATTTACAGACCAGCAAACAGTATGTCGAACTGCCACAGTACTGTGCTTTAGATTGAAAAAAATGTAATCGGCAACCCTTTGGATAGAAAGAAAACAGAAAAAGTATACCTTTCTGATGCACGCTTGTCATCTGCATACTCCTTCGACCTGATTTCATTCAGGTCCCCAATGAGGTGAATGAAGTTGCTGAAAAAAGATAAGAAGTTGGTTGAAAGTAGGAGTAAAAGAATATTAAAAACGCAGTCGCCTCCATAAGGACAACAATTTTATTCGCTTGACTATTCGGATCCACGCTCAAACGCATCATCAGAGATAGCATCCGACCAAAGATCGTGTCTACTTCTTCTGCACCCAGTAAATCTCAGTTATACGGCTCCCTCAGACTTTAAACATTTCCATACAGTCAGACGGGACAGTCTAGTCTAATTCAATATCCACGTGCAATAGCGGTATTTAGTCATAGTATTCCGTTATGTGAGAGCCTTGTGGCGAGAACTCAACATTTAAAAGGAGACTTAATGCCGTGAGCATAGGTGTCAGAAAGAGCATTTTTTTGCCCACCCCTTGTGGTCAAAGGATATATCGCAAACCGATTACTATGTAAAACTGCAAAAAGCAGGGTTGCGGTTAGCCTAGCACCTTAGATAAACCACAATGAGGAGCTATCTTGGAAAGCGTCAGTGATCACGTGGAGGCGTTTTGCCCATAGAGAAAGCTTCTGCTGGGCGTGAATCGTGGTTCAAGAAGCGCCCAAGTTAATTCAATTGAGGAAGTTGAATAACGGTGTTTCACAAGCCTAATGCGGCATGCTCTATATACTCCCACCTTTTCCAAACCAAGTACTATTCCGATAAGTCAAATGAAGACTAATTACGGAGGGGCGTGTGCACCAAGCTGCTCGTAGCACTAAGTAAACGTTTTGAGAAAGAGAGCGAATGCAAATGAAACATCGATGGGGAAAGCTAGTTTGATATCTCTGGTCGTTGTTAGCCAGATTTACCGCAATCCCAAGTTAGGAAAGACAGGAAAATACTTAAAAACTCTTTGTTTTGAGAAACTTTTAAAACCAGAAGTACTTCATAGAATACGCCTACGCTTGAACTCCGGGCAGCCATGCGTAAGCCGTCAGGCGACGCAAAGTAATACGCCCTGAAAAACTGCGAAGGAAAACCCGGCTGGTAAGTCAGGAGGGAAAATGTTTTGTTACCCAGGGACTGGCATACCCTGCGAAAAAAGTCTTTGAGGTAATTGTGCTATTTGCTTAAAATAGAGGAAGGTTTTTTGCCTCTTGGGCTACCAGCCTAACGCTGCGTCGGCTGCAAATGTGACTATACTGGGTCACGTGGAAGTGGCCTAGAGGGCTCTGTCGGGAGAGGATACTGAGTGGCTACGTGAGGGGTTCTGGCAAATGCTGGTAAAAGCAACAGAACAGGCCACTCCCCCGGAGCTGCCTACTTTTTGTGGGCGAATTTGAATTTGCAATTCTCGGATTTGGACTGCAAAAGGAAAGGCTTTTCTCCTCGGCCAAAGGGTTAGTGACAGCTCCGACGTGTCATCCGTTAGTAGGGCAGGTTGGATGTATATGAATGAAAAGTAATCAGAAAGCATTTACGTGCATCCATCAACCACTATATCTCTCCTCGTCTTTGAATTTTATAAGCGCTTTGTCAGGCTACCAAGTATTGGAGACAATAGCCGTAGGTGGTTTTGACAGTTGGCAGTCTAGGCGCAATTTCGGACCTTTAAGGGGCTCAATAAAACTAGTCATGGCCAATTGCTTGGCTTGTGATGCCGTATACTTTGGCCAAGCAGGAATGTCCGTCCCCACACGCATTCACGAACACCAACTGGCAGTGAAAAGACGTGACCATTTATACGAAGAGGCTATTCATAGACTGGACACAGGACACTGCTTCACATACGATAAAACACGCATAGTCGCAGTTGCCCCTCCAAAAAAGCCGATAATTTCTTGAGACCATGCACTCGGATGATCCATGCATCAACCGACATATAGAGTTGGATGGAATTTACAAACATGGAAGAGACGTGGACCGAGCAATACGGCATAAAACGCAGTTACTACTCAGAGCTCACTCCAGATAGCTACTTATTTTTTTCTGCGCGATTGAACTTAAAATTGTTCGTTGCACATTCTCGCTAGTCTGAAGACGAGCTGGGGAACCGGTCTCGAAAAGTTACCGAACTAATTTTGCTTTTTATCCCGAAGAAGGTATTTTCTTGAAAACCAGTCTGTCAAGCAACCCTCGCCCCCCAAAATGCGAAACATGCGCCAGCCTTTTACTCACCTGCGGTCCAAACAGAGGACATCCACCTGTGCGGACAAGGCAACCGCATTCGCGCTCCTCTTTTCCAGCCTTTAAGTGAAGAATAAACAAAAAGTATAAAGGTCAGAGGTGCGAAACTAAACCGAAAAAATAGTGGTTGATTTTTAAAACTGCAAATAGCCTCAGTTGAGAAACAGGTAAATAGGGAGTGAGGGTAAAACCACACAGCGGGCAGTAGATGCCAGCGATAAAAGCCGTCAGAGTCTTTGATGATGATGATGATGATGATGATGATGATGTTAAACTTGGACCACCCCCACTATTTGCATTCAAGTGTCACGAAGAGTGACTCATGATCGCTGGAACAAGAACCTTATTTACCCGATGTATCGAATTTAGCCTCGAAGCCACCTCCAGAGAAACAGAATCAGGTAAGGATAGTGAAATGCGAGAGGCGATTAACATGTTAGAAACGAGTTGGTTGAGTAGTTGGTGGAATCCTACTTTAGCTGCCAGATATTGCTTAAATAATCTAATGTTTTCGCAACAAAATGGCGCTCCATAAATAAAAAAAGACATTTCCTTACGGTTCTAACTTACTTATGGTTTATTGTGTGTGACAAATTTGGATATTTTTTACTTACTTATACTTTATAGTTTATTGGGTTTCTTGATATTTCTGAAAAAATGGTGGTTAGAAGGTCGTCTTCTTCAACTTACCTGAGGTCCAACTTACCGTTCAAAATATTTGCATAAATGCACATTTTAATAATGGCCCGTTTCTGTTGACAAACATTAGATTATTTAAGTACCTGTTTTTTCTACTTTTATAAAATATATTTATTTATATTTCCTTTCCTTTGTATTGCCCAGATTGAATATTCTATTACACCCAGTACTGTATTACGGTAGAATCGGGCTTTCACCTGCTGATCTGGGACTCAAAGTAGGATTCTAACTAGTAGTTTTATAGCCTTAGGTCGACGAAAGGGGGGGGGGCAATACTGTCTGCTCACCCACCCTCCGTATTGTGTGCGTTGCTCAGGCGGAGCCACCCAGGAAGTGCTGTTACCAGTTTCACTGTCGGTGAACCGAATACGCCAAGGGGATGCCGATTTTGACAGGCATGTCATGGCATAGCGACTGTATCCCATCCCAACATATCAACCTTCCTGAAAAAAAACACACTCACTTTATCTGATGTTGTAGCTAAGGCTTCATTTGCGCGCGAATGCGAAACGGCA